TTGGGAACTCATGCTGGGAACTCACGCTACTAAGTTTTTCTTCTAGGGGGTATCAGACATTGAGAGGCTAGGAGAACAGGAAGGTGATTTGTGCTAGTTGAGAATAGCTGGACACTAGATATACAGAAGAAGAAAGGAAAAACATAGAAGGCTAACTAAAATGCTCTGTATTTTCAGCTGTGACAAGAAGCTCAACTTGATGACTGAGTGTTTTAAAGATAAGCTCTGAATTCCAAACTCTGTTAGAAACTGCTTTCCATAGAGATAATTTACCACTGATCAGTAGCATTTTGGCTCTGAAAGCCTGTATCTTCTAGCAGATGCTGAATTTCTTTTGGCGTGCTTAATGTCTAGTTTTGAAAAGAAAAATGCAGTCCGGCATCCACCCTTGAGAAGATGGTGTCCAAAAATATAGAGTATTTATGGCATTTTGGCTGTACTGATCTTTTAATCACAACAGGTCTTAAGACACCTACTCTTCAATTCCTTTGGAACAATCTACCATAATACGTTCTTAAAACAGTGTTATTTGGTGTTCTGAAGTTACACTATTTCGTAGCTAGGAGACAATATTTCTGGCTTCTGTGTAAATAAACTCTTAGAATGTAAGATTCTCTTGTGCTTTCCGGTCGTATAGCTTATCAAGTCATGATGTGCATTACATGTTGCATGTAAGCATAGTTGTTCTTGAAACTCAGTCATTCGCCAGTAATGGTATATGGCTAAAACTCAGAGGTGTCTGCTGTGTTAAAGTTAACATTTTATTTTCTGTATCATGACTCAACTTTCCCTAGATGTATAAGTATCTGAAACACTCCACAGTTCTGCTGGAGGTTTTTCTCCCCCTGTATAGTAAATGCATGTTGTTTTGTGTGTGTGGCATTTTATAATAGTTCTAGCAAAACAAGAAGCAAACAGTACCATGTATTGAAGGAAGTATCTGGAGCTCTTAACTAAATTATTTAGGGCAAAGACCACATCTTACTGTTGTTTAGAGCTGAAGAGTTGCTGGGTAACACTGGGAGTAAACTGAACTGGATGAATATGGATCTTAGTGATTTGTGGTTCCTTGTAACGTTCAGCTTCAGATGTGCAGGTGTTGCTTTTGTCAGATGAATGCTGCCTGATTTCTACTGCTATGTAATTCACCTGCATCAAGATTAAGAAACCACTTTTTATTAAATAAGCTTAGAAACAAGATAAATGTATTTTGCTTTTGTGTAGCATGTATTGGATATCTGTTTTTCTGATGAGCATTTAAAATGTTTTCTAGTACAATTGGGAGGAATGCATTATCTCTCATAGAAAAGCAGTACAGCGCTGAAATAGTCCTCCTTAATTTTGGTCAGAACGAACAAAAGTGTCTGTGTTTATTCCTGCCTAATGCATCACAAATCTGCTGACATGCTAACCTTGGAGTCTTGGCTGGCGGTAATCAGGCCTGTGCACCGGCAGGAAAGATGTACCTAATGCACTCCATCAGTGCAGTTTGCATATGGAAGTTCTCACAGGGGAGCTGCCCCGTGCCAGCTGAGGGTTACCTGCCCACTGCAGTTATTGTATGTAATTATCGAACCAATCTGTTCAGCCCAGCAGGGTTTAGATGGTAATCATGAAGCAACACTTTGGAAAGGAAAGATGTGATGCACTCTCCCCTTCTCTCATGAGCTATGTGAAGTTGTAGCCACTTTTAAAGCTCTAGTCTCACACAATTAAAAAAATAAATTCAAAAAGATAAACTCTTCCAGTACTCATCAAAGTTATCATCTAAGTCTGGTACAGATATAGGTCAACTCAACCTCTGCAAAAATCACGTGGCTTTAAAAAAAGAATCTTTTCATAACCACCTTAAGAATACTTTGCAATAGTAAGATTAATTGTAATACACAGATAATAACAGTTCTGTCCATTTAGAGGTTTTAAGATAATGTACCTTGAATAGAGTTCAGGTTTCCCAAGTATCTCTTTTGGAACAGAACCCATAGTTGCTATTAGAAAAGGAAAAAAAAAAAAGTACTGTCAGTGGGTGTTAGCTACTTTTAAGCTGTGCAAAGAGAGCCTTAAGAAGTAAAGATCCAAATAAACTTGAATGTAATGAGGTGTAATTGCTTTTAAAAAAGCAATTAACATAAACTTTGGGTATAAAGTTTTTCTGTATTTTTTAAGGTTTTTCAGATTGCTCCTTTTGTAAAAGTTATTCACTGTAAATAAAAAACCAGATTTTGATCATAAAAACTCATGGTTTAATACATTAAAATTTCAACACTTAATGTGATCTACAGATAGGGGAACTGAACTTTCAAATTGTCTATTGCCTTGTACTAGTATTCTTGCATTAATATGCAAATAAATTTTCTCTATGACTGCAGATGTTTTATAATATATGAAGAAATATGCTTAAAATTGGGGAATACCTCGTGAGTATATTTTTTGCTTTGTGTGGTCTTTTCTGCTCTTGAGTTCAGTTGCTCCTTTTCTTTTCCTTCTTTTTCTTTTTTTCCCAGAAAAAAAGAAAGGCAGCAGCTGCATCCAGTGAGAGCACTGAAGCAGAAATGGAAGATACAGGAAGTCCAGAAAAAAAGCAAGCTACTTCTTCTAGTAAGTCAAAAGCTCATTCTCACAGTCACATGTAGGTTGACCCTGGCTAAGGGCCAGACTCTTACCCAGGGACTTGCTCTCCTCCTCTGTGGGACAGAGGAGAAAATGGGATGAGAAAACCCATGGGTCGATACAAAGATGGGAAGTTTGATTTTACCATTTACTGTTGCAGGCAAAACAGACTCAACTTGGAGAAAATCAATTTAATTTATTGCCAATTAAAATAAATTTTTTTAGTGACAAAGACAAACATTAAAACAACATCTTTCCTTCCCCTTCTCTTAAACTGAGCTTAACTTCTTCACTCTAGACGCCTCTACCCCACTCCCTGAGCCGTGCAGGGAGCATGGAGGGGAAGTGTGTTAAGGTCATTACATAGCTTTTTCTCTCTGCTGCACTTTCCTTCTCACATTTTCCCCCCTCCTCCAGTGTGGGCTATCTCTCTTGGGTTGCAGTCCTTCAGGGAAAAAAAATGTGCTCCAGTTCCTTCAGGAAATATCCATCTGCTCCAGTGGGAGTTCTCCTATGAGTTGCGCGGGATATCTGCTCCATCCTGGGTCCTCCATGAGCTATACGGAATATCTGCTCTGGCACTGTGGAGCACTACCTCCGTCCAGTGTTTTTCACCCTCTTGCATGTTTTCACAGGGGTGCCATAAACAAGCTGGGCTCAACTTTGGCCTACAATGGGCTTCTTTTGGAGCCAGCTGGAATGGGCTGTGTTGGACACAGGACAACACCTGGCCTCTTCCCACAAAGGCCACCCCTGTAGCTGGCCTCAGCGTAGCAAACCCTGCCACGTGGCCACGTATACCCAATAAAACTGTTAACCTTTGGCAGTTCAAGTACTTTTTGTCTTTCATAAGCTTTTTTGATTAACTCTAATAAAACTGAAATATTTAAATTTTCTGTGTAAGAAAGGTGTACTCTCCAATTATATGCTGGTAGAAATGCTAGGTGATAAAAATTGGTGGCTGCACCCTTTTCTTTTGCTGTCATTCATTCTCTCCTCTGTTCTTATTTTTGTTCTCCCGTCTTGTCCAATTCACTGTCAGAATATGCTGACTCCTCAGGACTTCTTCATCATGGTGTGTTAAAGCCAGAGGCTAGCAGCAGTAGCTTCCAAAAGCAAGTGTATTTAAAGTCAAGGAAAGGATCAGCTTTAAGGATAGAAACTGCTGAAGCTACATTTCAGATAATTTGACATAGATAGTTTCAGTTTTGTCTGGAAAAAGTCATGGGCAGATAAAGTAGGATTATTGTAAGTCCAAGATCAAAAATCTTCCGGAGATCTGTGTAGGGTAAGCTTATGATGAGAGTCCAGTCAAACTGTTTTCTGGATCTAACCTCCTAACTCCTTCATGTAGATGTGAATTGAATTCAAGTAATTACAAAGATTTTTTTCCTAAAAAAGTTTTGCTTCGGACTTTTAAAGTAAAAGACCAGATGTTGACCGTGGTCAAGTAGTCTTAAGAATAAGAAAGTAGTAGCACTACAGTCTACCCCAAAACAAGTCCTCTTGTTTAAAAAAGGTTTGATGAAGGAGTATGGCAGGATGGGAAAATGTAACACTTCAAAGACAGTAATATTACTGCCAAGTTATGAATTTACCCTAGCATATTTACTCATGTAGTATGGTACAAAGTGCAAGTAATTAAGCTAATATTATTCTAGAAGGTGATACTGCTCTATTCATTTTCAACTGTTCACATTATAGAATTCTGATTAATAAAATCAGTGATTATTTCTCTTACTTGAATGCCTTTTGAATTGTTGGCTTCAAATTATTACGAATTTTCTAGCCTGTCAGTGACTGAAAAAATGTTAATTATATTATACTTTCTTTGAAAGAAATACAATTATTTGATATGATGCTGACGTTCGTAGTTTTAGCATTTTAGACTTTATTTAAGACCTTATAACAAAATATTCAATACAGCTGACTAACTTCTGGTTGTGATTTGATACACATGAGCAGAATATACTTTCATTTTATATTCTATGTTATACTTCTTTTCTGGGGTTGTAGATTGAAATTCTCACAGATAGAGATGAAAAATAACTTGAAGAATTGCAGTCCAAGTGGTAGCATCAGCTGTTTTTTCACAGTAAGATGTTTGAGAGGCTACATATTTATATTTTCAGCACCCAGTGTTTAAAATGAGTGATGGACATAAGCTTAAATTTAAACCCCATCTTGCCAATTCAATAGAGTTACAGGTGAAGTGGTTCCAATTTCACCTTTTTATACTACCCAATTTAATGAATACCAAGTGGGGGGGAGTATATCAAATGATTTCAGGTGAAAAGTGATATATGTACTTACTCATTTTGTTCTCTCCAAATTTGGAATTAAAAACTTTAGCATTTATTATATGATTCATAAATCTGTGTTGAAGGAAAGAGCAACTGTTTCATAATCTTATGATTATGATGCTTTTGATAAATTGAAAATAGCTGAGTATTGCAGCCATACTTAAAGCTATTTCCAAATCTGACTGGTTTTGCTACCTTGGACTTGTTTCTCTGTTATGGGGTTAGTCCTGTGACTAAAAAAAAAATATCCTAAAGTTTGCTGTCCAGTAAAATGGATACTTTCTTGATACCTCTTAATTGTAGAAATTGAGGTTTAGTTCTATAGGAACACTATAAAAGTTCTTTAAATGCTATTTTATTGGTTTCTAAAAGGGATAAATATGGCCAGACAGGGGAGTTACTCTTCAGATGTTCAAACAACATCTCATGAGTATTTGAACTTAAAACAGTGGCAAGAAGAGCCAAGCAGCCTCTTGCTGCTCAGCTAATCAGCATTAACCACATCTGACTGTGCAGTTTGTCTAATCCGTCCCAAAAAGATTCTGATCAGCTGTGCAGCAGTTTGAGTACACCAGGGTGCTCAGTGGCTACAGAGACCCTGCCAGTGATGAAATCTGAGGGTGGGGAGCCCCCGGGCTCGGCAGAGGAGGAAGAAAGAATGGCCCCGAGAAAGGATGGGCATCTTGAAATTCTTGCTGCTTCTGTCTGCTCCCTCTGGTTGTTCTCAGTGTTAAGAGTGGCCGCGCCGGATGAGTTCAGTAAAGGCCATCTCTTTCAATCACGGCAGCCACCAGTGTTTCTCGAGCTGTCAAGCAAGAGGGTTAGACTCTTCTATTTAGAAACAGAATTCGAGAAAGCCCTGAAGAAACAAGCTATGTCGTACTTCCAAAATAAGATGCACAGAATTTTGTGGAATTCTTAAATTTTAAGTTCTAGTTAAATTATTCTTAAGTTTAAGTTAAATTATTTAAATTAGCATGTTATCAGTTTCCTCCTTTTTTTTTTTTCCTGTGATAACTGGAACCTATATGCTTTCCTGAAAAGTGGAATTTTAAGAGGTATCCTTTTTTAAGGTAACATGGATGATGTTGAAGTCTTATATTAGTCAATGTCTCTCCACCAGGAAAAGTGCTATCAGGAGAGATGATTTCTATTTAAACAGAAAGTTTTTTTTCATACACTGTTACAGCTCTGTTTTCAGTATGAGCTGCCTTCATGTACAACAGTAAAATATATAGGCTTAGAAGTGATGGTACTCTTAAAGCCAAGACCAAATTTTGGCATAACTGTATGTATCCACCAAGTCTTCTGCAGGGGTGTTCTGCGTAATATTAATAGGATGAATATGCTTATTTTTAAGCAGTTTGGGTGGAATAGGCAGCTAGTACAGGAAACTTCAGTGAAAATGGCATAAATGCTGGAAAACAGGTGTGTTTCAAGAGGATTTGTAAATAGTCGTAGGTTCAAAGCTACCAATAGAGATAAAACCTCTACCACTGACAGTCATTTTTAATCTTGATGTTGATGAAGATTGAGTTATAGAAATACAGAATTTCTTTAGAGTAGAATTTTTTTTATAGTAACCTTTTTTATTTTCTGTTGTGAATTTTTTTGAGTCATTTTTGGGTTTATTAATTGGGACAGTATAGAGGGAAGTACTGAAGTAGACATGACAATGAAACTACTGTCTTTTTTTTAATTTACTTTTTTAGTCAGTACTGCTAGGGGTAGGAATTGTGCATGTCTGTATTGCTGGATAGCATGGTAAGGCCTTAACTGGGTGCTTTGGTTACTCTTGCAGTATAAATAAAGAACTATGCGAACAGCTCCGATATGAAAAGAGTCATACTGATGGGTTGGTATGGAGGCATTATAAAATGGATGTTTAATAGTATTTCTCAATTAATAGGTACTTAGTTTTATGTTTATTTACATTGCATGGCTTTGCATAAGTCGATATCTGGGTTATAGTCTTAGAAATCTTTTTTTCTTTATTGAAGCAAGATCTATTACTTAATGTTGGATTAAGTCTACAGTTAATCTCATTTTTAAATTTAAAGAATTATTGGCCTTGTCATCAAGCTTTAGGAGAAAGCAAATCATATGGGTTTTTTGACCTTGTTTATGGTGCCACTTGTTACTTGTCTTTTGTCATTACCTATAATGACAAAAAAAAAATCTTATAGGTAGATTTTTTTACCTCTTAATTTTATACCCTAATACATTTTCATCAAAACTTGTACTGTGAAATAGTTCTAATTTTCTGTTATTCATCTGTTACTTCTTGTGAAGGATTTGGTATTGACTAGTATTGGTAACAGACTCCAGGAGTAAATGGGTATTAGTCTTAAAACAGTATATCCTTCTCTCTGGCTAGTTATGAGAAGATCTGTCCTTTCCTGCACCATTCTTGGCCTTCCCTTACCTGTCTCAGGAATGTTGCAAGTTAAATGCTCTCATATGAGAGTTACCTGATCTCGTTTTAGAAGTTAAAAGCATGTGCTGCTGTGTTGTAGCTAGAAATTAACAGGAAGATTCAAGCTTTAGAGCAGAGAAATACTGCTTTCAGTGATCAGAAATGTTGACAGACTCGCTTCTGTATTTTGCATTAAGCATATTCAAACATGATATGAAGTGATATGTTTTTATGGCCTGCTCCGAAATTGTTTGAGGATCTTTAAAAGCTGTTTAAGAGGAGGCATGGTAGGAGGTGATTTTTAAGTATAAAGATCCTTAAATATTATAGGTAGGAAGGTTAAAATAAATTGTGTATAAAACAATATATCTTTGTCTGTCTTCCTGAATAATGGTTTTCCTTGACAATTTGCATGTGAAAAATTGACTGAGAAGAACCTTGAACACATGCCACTTAAAATAATGAAGAGAGAAAAATTAATGTCCAAGATGTAGAGTATGGGAGTGTTCCTATTTACTCCTGTGTCTGCTTGGAACACAATTTTTTTACTTAGTCTTCCTTTATATTTTGAACTTATTTCCGTACAGTCTTTTCAGACCACTTCTAACACTTAAACACATTTAAAATGTGAAGATACTTAAGTTCCTTGTTACACTTCATGGGACTTTCTTATGTTTGCTGCTAATAAGAAGTATTAAATTAAGATAAAATAAAAAACCTTTTGAGGATAATTTTCCATGTGGTAAGGTTTGACTTTACATGTAGAAATGAATCATTTAAGAATAAAAGTGATGTCTGCTTTTTTGTTGTTTTTCTGTGACCTGAAGATGTATTTCTTTTTCAAGATTGAAAGTAATATATTTGAATTAAACTTTGTTCCTCCTGCAAATCACTGTGTGATGGAGAGGAGAGCTATTTTTAAACAGATGCTGCATGTGACTACTGGTAGGTATATATATGTATGTACAATTGTGTTTCGGAATGTCTTCAGTAAAGGAATTTTTACAAATAGAAGTATATCAGTTTTTTTCATCTGGAACAATTTTATGTGTATTTTCTTTTGATTTTTTTAGTATCAAATATGAATTTCCCTTTTAAGCTTATTAGTAGTGTCCTATCTACTGTGGACATGAAAATTGCTCTTATTTTATGCAGCAACCTTTTTGCACATTTGATGAGTACAAAAGGCTGCATCATCACATCTCGCTCCCTTTTTTTCCACTTTCCTCAGATAAACTAGTTAATTACTCTCTTTTTTTTCTGTTAGAGAACTGGAAACCACGACTCGTGATTTTTTTTTTCTCCATTTTTCTCAGAACTTTCTTGAAGGATAGAAGTGAAGACTATACACAATACTGCTGGGTTTCTTTTGTAAAGTTGCTTTATAATACTGTTTACATGGAGGGGATGAGATATCACAGTCAACTTGCCTGAAAATTCCTCTAGAGCCTGTGGGACTCTTTATGCCTCTGCTGAACTTTGCTTGAGTCTCAAAACAAGCTGTGCAGTGACACCATCTGGTTTATTTTTGCCTATATAATTCTCTCTTATTTAAATTGCCGTTTCAACCTAATTCAGTTTAATCTGCTTTATAAAAACCGTCTCCTTTGCTTGTAATAGCTTTGTTTGTGTCCTCATTTGGTGCTGCCCACACAGGACTTCTCCTGTTTTCAGAAACAGAATTGACATTTCTCCAACAAGAAAAGTTTGTGAGGAGGGGGCAATAGAAGTTATCAGGGTAATTAATTTTGAAAATGTGGACGAGCTTTGTGATACAGAAGACCTTCAGTTCTGAAATAGCTGCAAACTTTGAATCTAAACAAGGATTGAGAGCAGTCATTCTGAATGTAACGTAATTAACTTAATCAGGGAGTTTAAGAAATATTTCTACTGCTTCCGTTTGAAATTATGAATAAAAGAGTCACGACAAGGATTTTTTTTTCCTTTTTGTTATGATTTACTTAGAGATTCTCCATGATCATAGTTTGTTTAGAAAAATCTTGACAAGAACTCATTAATGCAATAAAGATAAAGGAAAAATCAGAGACAGAGTGGCTCTCTTCTGTTTGGTGTTCCACCATGGGCAACTAGAAATGGATAAGCTTTTACTGAATTAGGAATTAGCAAGCTTCAATTGCTTGTGTTGTCCGTGACGACCACGAAATACTACATTCCTGAAATACAAACATGAAAATGTGTTGTATTTTCCTACCTAAGGTCATCATTTTCATATTGACAGTCTTTCTGATAACAGAACATGAATTCGACCTGTCTTTGCGGCATTTGATTATACAGTCTATGGCTGGATGAGAAGAAAAATCAGTTACCTCAGTCAAAACTGATGGAGATTAATGAAAAGGAAAAAGATCAGGTTATTGTTTTTTCTTGAAGAGAAAACTTTGTTATTCTCTGCTTTCTATTGCAATACAAAGTTTCCAGGGAAAAATCTCAGGAGAGATGGAGAGAGGAAAACCGGTACAGTTCATGCAGTTGATAGGTTAACTTTTAACTTGGCCTATATACCACTAAGACTACTCAATTTGAAAACTCGGAAGTCATGTCTGTTGCTAGAATTCACAATTACAGTAGCTGAAATATTTTGTGACTTGGAAAAGTATAAACTAATTCTTGAAGATAAACCAGAATTTAACTGGGGAAGGAATGATTTACATAGTTAAATTACTACTTTTGTTTATTATACCTGCTTGTATAGCTTTTAGCTACTGGTTCTTATAAGGGTACCAGAATAGATTTGATTTTTACGTAGCAGCTGGGGGGGTGGTGGTGTTTTGCCAGAACAGATCTTTCATTGATGGAGTTACTCTGCTCGATAAAAGACTATCACCAGAGTTGTCAATTGTTTTATGGTTGTTTTTTTTTTTTAAAAGTAATTTATTAATCAAAGATGTGTTGCCTGACAAAGTCTTATTGTAGTTTTATGTTGAACGCAACAAATGCTTTTGCACGAAAAAGGAACAAGAATATTTTTTCACTCTCTGTTTCGTTTTCAAGAATGGAAAAATTCTTCAAAGTTTATTTTGGTATTTTTAATTTCAAATCAAAATTTTAAGAGCAAATTAAGTTACGTAAGATTAAACAAACATGAAAGCAAAACTGTTTGCAATAGTTCGTTGCATTTCTTGGTGTGATTTTGGTTTTGGGTAGACTCAAGACTATTTTGGTTTGATTTGCATTGTTCTCTGCCTCTTTGCTTTCCCCCAGATTTACTCATTAAGCTTGAATGATCAGTGACTCATACGGCCCAAAGGCTGTTGTCTTATGCAAGCAGCTTCTGTCTTAAGGACTTCCATGAAACTCAGATTTTACCTTTTCTCTTTGTCGGTGATGCAGATTAAGAAGTGGACTGGAACTGTAGAGTTACATATAGTTTTACAAACAAGAACTTAAATAGTTAGGCATACTGAGTTCAAGGAGGAAGTTGGAATTTAAAAATAAATAAATAAAATAATACCGTAATGAAAAACATTTCATTGTTACTGCATTTGTGAAAATGATAGCAATTTTTATTATATGTAATATTTTTTCCTCAAGGTGACTACTGTTTAATGTGATTCGTGCAAATGAGCTGTGATGTTGTGTGGTTTTTTTCTTTCCTTTTCCCTACTAGTGGGATGGAAAGAATCAAAATGCAGAGAGTTTTTTTTATTATTGCATTTAAGTATGGTCTCTTAGAAGAACCAGCCTGCCAGGTTTGTTAGGAATTTTATTAGATGGCACTGTTCGTTATCTTTGTTAATAAAATATTATCCAATAATAGCTTGAAATCCATAGGTAAAGTTGCACTGATTGCTGAGCTGAATTAACAGCTTGACACTGCCAAACAAAAATCTTTGCCTTTTCTTCCTGTGTGCCTTCCACCTCCCCTTGTATAAACTCTCTTCAGAATGCTCGAAGCTGCTGCAGGTCATTAAACTTTGGGAATATTAGACCAAGGAAGTTCTTTGCTGGGTTACGGAGCTAGCTCAGCTTAGCACAAGGTCCAAAGAGAACCAAAAATGGCTTAATACTGCACTCAGAAGTGAAAGTTGTTGGTGCAGGGGGAGGAAGGAGGGGACTTGGGGTTCAAAGAGGATCTGATTCTTCATCTTTTGGTGGAGGTGAGCTGTGAGATTGTCTCAACTGTATGTAATGCTAGTGTTTGAGAAGTCGAATTGGACAATGTTTCAGGAGAAAATCGGTACCCAGTAACTGTGGTAAATTATTCTGAGTCCACATCGTGTCTCCCCCGTCCCACCAGTCAAAAGTGAGTGAGTGATTTGAGTTGATCTATCCTCTTAAAGACTACAAGTATTTTCTTGTGATCCCTTTCAGTTATTTTATTTTATAGAAAGTCTCGTCTTTTTGTTTTGTTTTTGTTTGAATTGCAGATGCAGTAGGTACCAGAACCCGCAAGATGACCTCACCAAAACCCAAAAAAGGCACAGCAACCAGAAAGAGGGTCCAGAAGTAAATAATAGATGGAGCAACGAATTAAGTTGCTCTTTGGCTCATCTCTGTTTGTTTTTTTTTCTGTTATGGTAGCACTGGAATCTTTTTCTTTCCTTTTTAAATGATGAATCCTGTAAAAACATGGACTGCTGTTTGTACCTGAAGAATAAATGTTTTATTAAAATATTTGCATAATTTATGTATACTTTAATACTAATGTGAAATTTTACCAACTTTGAAGTGAGAATGCATTTTTATTCTTTATATACACAAATTCATGTCTTACAGGCAGACTAAAAGAAGGTGCTTTTTTCTGCTTTATAATGTGGAAATAAAGCCTTATTTAGTTTTGTTATGGGTGTTTTATGAGGAACAGCAGTGTTGCATCTGAGTTGTTCTAGTTTTGAGTAAAGTCTTATTGGAGGTCGCTGAGATGAAGTCTGAAATAGTAGAGATGTCTTTTACGTATTTCTCGAGTGTTTGAATTAAAGAGAAGGTATGACAAAAGTCACATCCTGCCATTCTAGTTTGTTATAAAATGAGTTTAAACAATTCTTTGGAGAACAGGTAGTGAATTTTGGTTATTTTTTTGCATAGTATTTGCGTTGGTATCACTTTTCCGATTTTTCAGAGTTTCTCTGGAAAGAAGGAGACCAGTTTCAGACATAGGGCCCAGGGAAAAGAACCAACCAAAACCCAATGCTCATTCTCACCACCCCTCCTCAGGTTTTCTTTTTAGATTAGTGAAAAGGCTAGAAAAGTTTGTAAAGTATCTATGTCTTGACTCGCATATGCTTCTCGTAACAAAATAGTGGTTTACCTTTTTTTAGTAGTTGAGTAGCATGTAACCTTCCTTTAAAGTCATGCCTTGCTTGTCTTTGAGTCTTCTCTTCAGAGTTGTAAGTCAAAAATGCCATGTTTAATTTCAATGTGAAATACCACTACTTTTCATTTAGATACTGAAGAAAAATATATGATTAGGGCATGAACATCACTCTTATCAGGGAGACTGTTTTATGAAGTTTGACAAACCAGAATGATTCCATATGACCCAATGGGTAGTGTATTTGTACAGATGTCCAGTGCTCTGCTTGCTTGATTGTGTAATGCCTGAGTAGCTACTCACTGAAGTAAATATATTGTAGCATAAAATGCTGAATGAATGACAAGATTATATTTTACAAACAAGGAAGTCTGTTGTTTTGAAATAAAACTGGAATAACATAGTTAAAAGATCTAGTGCCTTCTCCTTTCTGTTCTGACAGCTGTAGAGACTAATTTTCCTGGGTATTAGCAAAGTGTGGCTGATGATTTTAAGCATAGCATAAAAATAGGACTGCTAAAGCCTCTCATATTTAAAACTCAAACTATCATTTTAAGGACTTCATTTAATAATTTTATTCAAAAAGTATGTTACACTATTCTGAAGAACTGTGGTCAGGAAAGAATACTGTGTTCTCTTGCTTGTCTTGCGTAGTCAAAGTTAATGACATTCTTTTGTATTTTAGTTGTTTGACGCTTTAATATTTTTAGTAACTTATTTACAGGTAAATTTCCTTTCTTTACTTTCCAAGTTTTCAAGGAGTGTGTTTTCTTTTGACACTACCAAAGTCAGACGGACATCTCCATGTATTTTAAAAGCATGTTTTGAGGTGCGGATTTCATAAGCCAGCCCTACCTCTTCCCACCCCAAAAGCGTCTTGGAAAAAGTTTGTACTGGCAAGTGTTCGGTGAAGACGGGTGCTTTCCATTCTCAGTGAATGTTGTTTCAAGGCATGTCTCGGCTCACAAGAGGCCGTGCAAAACTATAGTCTTCACAGGCACGAACATCTCTGGCTCGCTGTAAACTGTGCTGATGTTGAAGTGTGGGACCTATAGGAAGAGCCGAGTGGAAGGCTGTGATAATCCTGCAGTGCTGCTGTATGTCTTGCACCCAGTAATGTGCTGGCACACATGTGCTTTTGCTGTTTTGCAAAACAGCCATGGGGAAATACACGCTTTACAAGAGGCGGAGGGCGTAGTAGGCTTTTGTTGACATCCCCATTTGAAAGTAAAGCCCCTAACACAAAAGAAGCAAGCTGCCTTTAGACTGCATTTACTGCTCTTGATGACTCCAGTTGTGTGTAAATATTAGAAAACAGCAGGGTCCTGCGTTCTAAGAATCACTTGAGCAGTGCCATGAAGACAAGTGTCCTTACTGGTATTGTAGTCATACTCCCAAGCTCTCCTGCTGTTTCTAATCTGTGCGCACAGCCGTGAAAAAACTGGACTGACATTTACAGGCACAGCAGGGAGACACTTGAGTAGGGAATGTTAAAGACTCCGCTACCTATGTTTCAAAGTGGCCACCATACATGATAAATCTTCACAGGAGAACTAGTCGGCACTTCAGCTGATGGCGTAATGAGGATATTGGTAATGAAGCACAGAATGCTTCTTTTAGTGCTCAAACATTTTGCAGACAGATTGTTTATATTTTTTTTGCCCTAATCTAAAATATCTGGAGAGAGAATCAAATTCAAGATGGATATAAGATATTTTTTAGATGATGCTGATTTGATAATTTTTACAGGAGTATTTCCCAATAAGTTAATATAAAATAATAACATAATTCCCGATATCTGTTGTGGCCAGCATTAAGAAGGGGGTCACTTGCTTTCCTGAGTAGTTTGACAGACTTTACTCACTGTTTTGTCCCAGTGAGCTGCCAGATTTGGGATGCCATAATACCAGTAATGCAATTAGGTTTTCTGCACGTTGTCTGGTTGACTTCTCAGTTAAGAGTTTCTTTCCCTTTGGGAATAAGACTAGACAGACTGTCATTTGCTATTACTAATTCTGCTTAGCATTATCACTGGAGCTTTTTTGTAATTAGCTATCTTAGTTGGCTCTTAAATTTTAATAGCCAATTGAAGCTACATTTTAGCCAAGTTCCATATCTAAATTGCATTCAGTCCATTAACAAAGTTGGTTAAAAGGCTATTAAAACAAAAGCCAATATATGGTGGTTAGCACTTACATGTTTGCAGCGGTAGCAGCCTCCAATGAATATTCTCAAGAAACAGCACTTCCTTCTAGCAAAGGAAGTGCACGACGAATGACCAAAGTTTGTTTTGGGAACAAAGGCTGATTATGCAGAATACTTGTAGAAAAAAAACAAAATCAAAGTTCATCTTTTCTGAAAGAAGGTGGGAGAGATGGAGGGGAGATGCAGAAGGGGGGCAATTAATGGTTCTGCTCAGATTTGACAGGTTCTGGAAAAGCCAAATAAAGAAGCAATGTTTTTCTCCATTTCAGCTGATCAAAATTATTAGCAAAACCATCTGAAGCACCTTCTGGTGGAATTGTCATCTTGCTGAGTTTAGTTTGTAAAACATCCTGCCAGACATTAAAAAAACTGTAAGCCTGCCAGCACATAGGCTCAGAGCACCGCTTCTCTAATTGATAGACCCTATAATTTTCTTTTTTACTGAAGACCATGGCTGGAAACCTCAGCCTCCCTGGTAATTTAACGTGGCATCAGTCTGAATTTTTTACCCTTAGTAGCATTTGTTTAAATTAGATTTTTCTCTTCTTTTCTTTCTTAAGGTGTAGACAGGAGATTAACAGCCTTTGGATCATCCTGTGACAAATAATGGCTTTCTCAGACGTTTCTGCTTTTAAAAAAAATATCTTTACTGTTGTGAAGACATCTGATATTAATGCTTCTACAGTTTTAATGGAGAGTATACCAGTTGCTGGTGAGTTGTTTCAGGGATGGTTTGCAGTGCCCTGTGTGGGTGATGATAGGTAAGTATCAGTAGCTCCATTATAGGAGGTGTGAGACAAACCCCGATTATGTTTGAATAACCAGTGTATATATATGCTTTTACCAGCATATATAGTGGGACATCTAAATTAGAGTTTCCATAGTGCACCAGTTCCGTTGTTAAACAAGACAGACAGCTGATGCTCATGGAATGTGAGTCGGATCCCGTTGCTTGTAGCTGGACTGCAACATCAAACTGAGTGGAAAAGCTCTGTGGCAGTGAGTGCCAATTCCTTCACCTCCCGTGCTGTTCTAGGAGTGCTGGGCTTTTTGCAATGTTGCAATACCCAGAGGGAGAAGGAATCTGTTTTATCTGTCTGAGGATGGATTTTCATGATGTCCTCTCTCACAGTCAGGGAGAAAGGAGGTGTGGTAGGATTGACTTATTTGGAAATTTAGGCCTAGAGTCCTAGTTAGGATCTAATGGATAGCTTTATATGACTGCATGCTAGCTGACATGCATTTTAGTTTCCTCTCCTGATATTTTCCAGAATAAGCAGCTGAAGATTTAGAAAGGTGATTACATGAATTCTTTGCTTCGTTTTAGGCTTTCGTTCTCTCTGTGGATGATACCTCGTAGCAACAGTTTTGGGTTTCCTCCTGAAGGGATATAGAGAAAGGGGAACATAATATTTCTGTGAATTGAGTTTTGTCGGGATGAAGGGTAAGCCAGACAGCTCAGAAAAATGCAGTAGCTCTAACTGGATGCTACAGGCTAGTTTTCTCTACACTGACACGCCATGTTTTTAAATGTGAAGTCGCCAGCAGTGTTGCACTTGTACTTCTTTCTAGTGGTTTATGTTTTATCTTATCCCATCTAAAACCTGTCTTCTTTCAGACTGGAGCACATCCTGCCCATGTAGGCTTCCATGCCAGACTCTAAATGTGATTTTTAATTCCCTTGCATTTAGGTCTACTGCATACAAATCCGTGAAGCGTTTTCAAATGGACCTCAAGTTCCACAATTGCCTAAGCTGCTGACAAGTGAATCCTGACAGCTTTTCTTTCACCATTGTGAATGCTGCAACAAGCCCAAATTGAGGTTTTTGCATTTTCTCAGGGATATCCCAAAGGGTAAAAGAGTTATGGAGCAACTGTCATTTGATGGGAGAAAGATTGCCTCTCATATTTCTACCCCTTCTCTTGGAAGGTCAGCTTTCCAACTCTGCAGACCTTAGCTGCTGTGATGGCTTTTTCATAAGTATACTTGAAAG